GTGTTGCATATATGGGTGATATACATACAAATTAAACAGATTATATATAGAAATATAAAATCAGTACATATAAGAAATGAATATATAAATATTGTAGACTTCATTGTTCTTGATTCAAGTACAACCATTCATAGGTATATACTAAACAAGTTTTACACGCACACACAGAGTGCAATATACTGATCATTACATTTGAATACAACTTAATTGCAATTAAGCACTTGCACGCAAGAATTACATTCACTCTTCATCTCAACTTGTACTTTATTCTGCAAACTCTAACAAGATCAATATGCGAGCTAATGATCACACAACCCACAACACACAAAAAATAATACTCCAAAGAGAAATCAATCAGCAAAGATCACAGAACATTACCTAACATATATATGAGGTTAATTATTGGTGGCAAACTATATAATATATATATATATATATATATATATATATATATATATATATATAAACTAAATATACATACATATATATGAAAGAACATGAAAATTAAATTAATCTAGCGATTGATCGGACCAGTAACGCTTGATTCCCCATGGATGCATGATCTCCATACTTCTTGATCATGCTAATTTTCACGAAAAGACCTCTTAAATCATCCAATAGGAATACCATAAAAACCACCCGTTTCGTGAAAATGAAAGATGAGATCAATCAGCCTAAACTGCACATGTTGGAAAATTAACATCGAAATAGAGATGAATATTGGTACAAAATCAGCAGCCATGGCCTTTGTGGTAGAAAAAAGAGAGAAACAACGACTTGAAGCTTGCAGGTTATGTGGAAGTGGAGAGGACACACAAAACACACACTACAAACACACATATATATAGAGAAAGAGAGAGAGTAGAAAGAAAGCTATGTCTAGATATGCATAGTTAGTAGAATTGTGGAGCAAGCATATATATATATATATATAACCTAATATTCGTATATTCCCGCATGCAAGGTTTCTCTTTAATGAACAGTGGAGGTGGCACGTTTCCACAGGAAAATGGAAGGGGAGGGAAAGGGATGGACAGTGTTTGGAGTGCGATTTTATGGAAGGCAAAGCATGGTGTGCCCTAAAGCTGGGGCTCTTTATTAAAGGCATAAACACCCCTTCAAAAGGGTCTCTTTCTTTATTTGTGTGTGTGATGTTTGAATTTTTGGCTCTTCACTGTTGCTTTTTGTTTTTTTGGGTCGGTTGTTAAGAAAGGGGTTTACATTTTTTTTTGTTATTGCTTTTACTTAAACTTTTTTGTGGCCTTAGGGGTTACATTGTTTGAAGGTCTCGTGGCTTTATGATATTTGACTTCCTTGATATATGAGCCAATCTAATTAGAAATTTGCACTACAACCAGCTGTCTTTGTGCTCTGGTATACTTTGGAGGAGGTGGAGTAACTATATGCACATGGATATATGTCAGTTGTACTATGTATACAGTGTATATCATATCAAATTTATTGTGTATATATAGTTTATATGCACTTAGGGCCGTCTGACCTGCTATGTATTTTACGCTTTATGTTTTTGGTTAATACAAAAACAATAATTTTGTTTTAAAAAATTTGAAATTTTATTTTAGTTCCTCCATTACAATATCAAAATACACAATATTACTAATTTGGCGATGGGTCTATGGTTGCGGCGGTGGGTCTGTGGTTGCAACGATGGATGTGGTAGAGTGTGGCGATGGGTGCAGTAGAGTGTGGTTGCAACAGAGTATGGCGGTGGTGGGCGTGAGGGTCAGGGTCAGGGTCAGGGTTAGGGTTAGAATTATTTTTGTCAATTAAGAAGTTCAGGGTAAATATGACTTTTGAAACTTTAGGAGTATCAATATAAATTAGTATGTTGACTGTCCGCTGAGTAACGTTGATCTAAATCTTAGGAAGCCTGAGTGTAAGTTTCCTGTAATTTATTAAAATTTGTGGGTCAAACAAAGGAGTTTGCTTTGAATCATTGTGAAACTCAATCAACGGTTGAGGACCATCTGGTCCACCTTCTATCTCTTTTTTTAACGGTCAGTTTTCTGGTCTCGTACTGGAGACCACTTACGCCCACGGTCCACGCAATATTATTGGGACCCATAATTCCCGTCTTATTTGAGACTGGACTGACACGTTGTAATGGAAAAGTGGACCTAAATCGCATGCACTTTGTTTGAAAAGGATAGTGGGCCCAAGCTTCGCGTGGAAGGAGTCCAGACTCAGGCCCAAATGCATTTCCAACTCGGCCCCTCATACTTTTTGTACAGCTGAAGGCAAAATGGTTAATTGGTGATTCATTTGTCCCACTTCTACGCATTTTTTAAGGACCATTTTAAGGCCCCCCCCCCAAAAACCCAAAAAAAAAGCTTTTCAGCTTAATAAATGAAATTACAGAAGTATCTTTGTATGTGAAAAAATGTTATTTAACTTAAAATATAAAAATAAAAATTTAATTAAAATGGAAAAATGATCATCATATAAAACATAAAACATAAAACTCTCTCTATTATTTTTCTAATGCCATAGATAATAGGGAGGTATTTACACGTTTCTGCAATAATTTAAGTGATATTTATACAAATTTATTAACATATGGGATATTTTTTTTTTATAAAAAATTAGAAGTTAAAGTAGGTTTTCAATGCTCGATCCTAAAAAAAACTATTTGATGTTTATCTCATCTACTTCTGAAATGAATAATGAGGACTCAATTTTCACCGTATAGATAAATGGGTACATGAGTTTCTTTTCAATGAAAAAAAAAAATGAGTTTATTTCAGTTTTCAATTTGCATGTAAAATTATATATATAATTTTCTAGAAAGTATAAATGTATATTATGTAATGAAGATTGAATTTTAAGAGTAGTTATATTTGAGACACACATGAATAATTTAAGTGATTTTTATACAAATTTATTAAATATGGGATATTTTTTTATAAAAAAATTAAAGTTCAAAAAATTATTAGATGTTTCAAATGGTTAGTGAGGATTAAATTTTTCACCGTAGAGAAAATGGATACACAAGTTTCTTTCCAATGAAAAAAGAAGAAGAGAAATCATAATTTTCGATTTACATATAAAATTATATATATATATATATATATATATATTAGTATTGTACAAACTACAAAGTATAAATGTATATTATTTAATGAAGATTGAATTTTAGGACTCATTGGATTTGATCAAATCAGATTATTGACAACACACGAATATCCATTTTATCAGCTTAAGGAAACGACACGATGGACTTGGATAATAGAAGATATCTCAATTCAGAATTGGACCATCAATCAGCTCTTGTACCAGTGCAAAATTATTTGCAGCAAGTGCTTTTTATGGTCCAATTTGTAGTTATTGAATTGCCAAAGTCTTGTGAAAGTGAAATTTTAATGGAAGACGAAAGATTTATTTATTTGTTTTTCAACCTATGGCGGTCATAACTATAACAATCCTAAGGTAGGAATTTCGAGTAAGTCCTGATCTGCACGAAAGGTGTAACGATTTGAACACTGTCTCGGAAGGAGGCTCGGTGAAATAGGCATGTCTGTGAAAATACGGATTGCTTGCACCTGGATAGAAAGACCCAACGAAGCTGCTCCTGGGATTGGCTTTGGGCCTTTTCTGCACAGTTTAAGGGGGGTTTCATTCATCAAGGAGATACCACTCTAAAAAAGACAGAATTTTAACCTTGTGTTGTAGGCCAAGATGGTGGTTTTGGGCCTCTTAGAGCACCCACGATCTACAATCGGGCACATACAATCCCTATCCCACATTTACAAAATTTCCAACTTTCGACCTCCAATTTGTGGGGTGAAAAGGAAAGAAATTTATTCCCAACTCCTATTAGGTAAAATTTTAAGAACATGTAGTCTACCACTATATAGAGCCCATTTGGGATTGTTTTTTGTCTTTGGTAACCATTAACATTTTAGGTCACTATTGTTTTTTTTAATGAAGTTAGAATTTATAGCTTTTAAAATTGTGTAGAGTTTGTATATTTAAGGTAATTATTTTTTCTTAGATAATTTTGTCCCTTTTTTTAATTTTTTTATAAAGACAATTCTATCCATTCTTGTCTAAAGTTGATATTATTAAATATGATAACATTATATTAAAAAATGTTATTGGAAAATACATGTGTTTTAAAAAATATTGTTACTAAACAAATTAAAAAATAATTTAATTATAAAAAATACTTATTATAATGTGTCACCAAACATCTAACATATTTTTCATTAAGCAATTTTTTGACAACTCTAGCAACAAAAGTGCTTTTTGTATTCTAATACCAATGCCAAACGGACTCTTAATATTTAACAGATAACATTATTTTACATGTAGCATGTTTGGGCAATAGAAAAAGATAGCATTAATTATGAAGGAAAAGAAAAAGAATGAGAGTGATAGGTTATTATTTGAATTCTTATTTGGTTTGAGTGTGCCACGAAGGACTAGGGGGCGGAGCCCCTAATTAAAATATTTAACATATTTTTGTCTCGCAATTTTTGACTTAGTTTTTAATTTATGTTATAATCCGATATATATAAGTTTGCTAGCATTTGTACTGTTTACGTTGAACATAGAGAATTCAAATGGAGAGGGTGAGATAGAAAAGGTGTATTAGGAGTCCGAAAGTTAGGTCAGACAACTTCAATTAATTTATGTGATTAGTTGAATTTGTCCGACTATTAAAATTTCTTATATTCAAACACTATTCAAATTCAGATATACAAAAAAAATGTGTTTTAAAAGGAAAAAGAAAAAAGAAAGAACGTATTTCAAATTCTTTCCGAAATTAAAGCAATTGTATAAAAATGGAAACGTACCGTACGAGTGTTGATACGGGCATGACCCAATGAGTTAAAAAAGCCCAAACGGAGAAGAAAAAAATAAACAAACAGGCCGAAGAAAAGCCTGGTGACAAGGCCCAAGCCCAAAAACCAAAATATTCGATCCAAGCTTCTCAAACCAAGCCCTAACCATCTGTAAAAGACGAGCAAGAGAGTCCACAACATTTGGGTTACTGAATCCGACCCTAATTGTATCAATATGGGTCATTTTTCTTCTGCCTAAGCCCTAAAAAAAAAAAAACCCTTCAATGCTTTCATTTTGTAAACGAAATTGAAACTTCAGTGAGTGTTGAGAATCTCAAAATGGCGGCAATGAATCGAGCAAAAAGAATACTGAGCTCTCTCCAGCTGGCCAACTCGCTTCACTCGACTCGGATGCTTCGAACCCACTCGCTTTACTTTCAGGTGACTCACTTCTCTCACCTCTCTCCATTTCTCTCTCCTTCTCTCTCTAAACAACCTCACGCTTTCAATTTTCTGTACTTCCATCAAAAGCTGTTCTTCTCATCAAATCCAAACTCTATTGTTGATCTCGTATTGGCCAATGATTGGTCCAAAAAATTGGAGGTTGAGTTATCAAACACCACCACAACATTGACCCATGAAACTGTTATATACATTTTGAAGAGACTCGATAAAGACCCAGAAAAGGCTTCGAATTTCTTCAATTGGGTCTGTGACAAAAATGGGTTTAAACCCAGTTCTTCTGTATTTAGCTTAATGCTTAGAATTTTTACTAGCAAAGAGTCAATCAAGCAGTTTTGGATCACAATTAAGAAAATGAAAGATACAGGGCTTTATATTGATGAAGAAACGTACAAGACAATTCTTGTGTTTTTTCGGAGTTCAAAGATGGCAAGCGATGCCAAAGCTTTGACTCAATTCTACAATAAAATGGTTGATGAAAGTGCTATTGATAGTGTAGTGAAAAATGTGGTTGAAGTTGTTATTGGGAATGATTGGGGCCATGAGGTTGTTAAAGAGTTGGAGAAGATGAAAATTTCGGTGTCCTATAATTTTGTATTGAGGGTATTGAAGGAGCTTCGAGGATATCCATCAAAAGCTTTAAGTTTTTTCAATTGGGTCGGTTCGCTTTCAGGTTTTGAACACGAGAGTGTTACTTATAATGCAGTTGTTAGAGTTCTAGGTCGGGATGATTCAATTGGGGAGTTTTGGAGTATGGTGAAGGAAATGAAGAGTGTAGGACATGAGATGGATCTTGATACTTACATAAAGATTTCGAGGCACTTTCAGAAATTTAAGATGTTTAAGGATGCAGTGGAACTATATGAGCTTATGATGGATGGGCCATTTAAGCCCTCAGTTCAGGATTGCAGTGTGCTTTTGCAGACCATATCAAGAAGTAATAGTCCAGACTTAGATTTGGTGTTTAGAGTTGTGAAGAAATTTGAGGCAGCCGGGAATTTCCTCTCTAAGGCTGTTTATGATGGGATTCACAGGTCTCTGACGAGCGTGGGTAAATTTGATGAAGCGGAGAAGATTATGGAGACGATGAGAAATGCAGGGTATGAACCTGATAACATAACGTACAGCCAAGTGGTATATGGACTTTGTAAAGCAAAGAGGCTAGAAGAAGCATGCCAGGTGCTGGAGCAGATGGAAGCAAGCGGATGTATTCCTGATCTCAAGACTTGGACCATTTTGATACAAGGGCATTGTGCAGCTGAAGAAGTTGATAAGGCAATAATTTGTTTTGCAAAGATGATGGAGAAAAATTGTGATGCTGATGCTGATCTCTTGGACATCTTAATAAATGGATTTCTTAGCCGGAACAGGATAGATGGTGCATACAAATTACTGGTTGAGATGGTGAATAAAGCTCGTTTAAGACCTTGGCAAGCTACGTACAAAAGTCTTATCCATAAGCTTTTAGGAGAAAGGAAACTTGAAGAAGCAATGAAACTTCTTCATCTAATGAAGAAACACAACTACCCACCTTTCCCAGAACCCTTTGTTCAATATATTTCAAAGTCCGGGACAGTGGAGGATGCGGGGGACTTCTTGAAGGCACTGAGTGCGAAGGAATATCCATCCATTGAAGCTTACCTTCATGTTTTTCGATCTTTCTTTCAGGAAGGCAGACATTCTGAGGCCAAAGACCTGCTTTATAAATGCCCTCATCATATTCGTAAGCATAAGGCCATTTACGGTCTTTTTGGTTCTGCAGAGAGCAGAAGTGCTGGTGCTGTTTGATTTGAAGGCAATTAATTCATATTCAGATCTTTGTTGTAGAAATGAACTTAGTTCTTGGTAGTTCTTCACACTGCAGATTACCATCCAGATATTTCGTTTTTTTATGTTTGGGTGTTTGAAGCATCATTAAGTTATCGCGAAGTGAGGGTGGTAGTACGATATCTGGGAAGTTCACAAGGTTTGAGTGGTTGTTTTGATATTGTAGATGCAAAGTAGAAGACTTTTGCTTTTGTTTCTAATGAATAAATATTTATACATTTTAGTGCATCCATTCTGATTTTCAGCTAGAGTTGTCATAATTGTGCTGAGGATATCCATAATCCTTTTGCTTGTAATTTACTTTTAATTTGCTTTTTTTTATATATAGTAAAAATTGCTTACACTTTTAATAGAATTATAGATAGGTAGATAGATACAGATATAAATATATATATACCCTTTATCTTTTATCATTCTGGGGATCCTTTATCTTTGTTTTGAATCATTAGGTTTAGACATTACTTCGGTGATCCTTAATCCTTTCAAAACGGCAGCAACATACCCTTTTTGTGATTTCTTTCTATCAAAGAATCATATGAACGGTGGATTCCCGCGCGATACACCTTGGATCGAAAGAGTTTTATCAATTCCAACAATTTTTCCTTTTTGGGCGGAAACTTGCTCGAATTGGATTCTTTCGATTTCTATTTCTATATCGAAGATATACTTACGAAGTTGTTCCAATTTATTGATTAGCATTAACCCTAGATCCCTTCCCCCGAGAAATGAATTAATACTTTCTGCTCAAGCTCCACCATGTACTATTTACATTACAACCCAACAAAAAGGATGGGATATTTTAGTAGAAAGAATCACCGTATGCACCGGAAGATAGATTATTGCGGGCCATACTTGGCATATATATATATATATATATATATATATATCTATCTACCTATCTATAATTCTATTAGAAGTGTAAGCAATTTTTACTGTATCTATACATTTTTACACAATTTTTTTATACTATTTTATTTGTATTAATTAAACTCCAGCGCAGTTCATTTGTTTTATTTATAATTTTCATTCAAACTAAACAGAGAAGTAGAGGGGAAGTTGGATAGCCTAACATTTAAACGCTTACTCTTGCACCTCTTGGACTGAGGTACTACCTCCGGCAATTTTAACAAAATCAATAAGAGGAAAACAAAAATGGAAGAACATGAAGCTGTGTGATTGAGTTATTCGATTATATTCAACTTTTTAAGTGAGTAGCAATTGATTGCAGTTAAAACAATATCCACCTAATTGGAATCCAAGTTTGGCTGAGTTCGGGATATATCTGTATGTGTATTACAAATGGATTTGCAGGTGCATAGAGACAAAGTCTTTGACTGAACTATATCTCAAGGAGAATGATGCTATAACCACGAGAGACAGAGAAACAGTAGGAGAGAAGCGAGGAAAGACTATATCTTGTAAGTTTCAGTTTTCATTGAGATAACTGCTTTGGTTGTTTAAGAAAAGATGAAATAAAAACTCTAGACTCAGTAGAGTTTTTCATTTTAGTTGGTTTTTGTGGTATTTATCAAATAGAAATAACCAAATTTTGTGGTATTTATCAGTAGAATACCCAAAACTTTATTCTTTGCTTTTGCTGCACTTAATTTCTTGACTGACAAATGGACTTTTTTTTTGTTGATATGGGTAAGAAACTCGTTCAGTTCAAAGAATACAAATTTATAAATTTCATGATGCATTGTTGAATTGAAGTTTTTTGTTATTTTCATGGGTATCATTTTTTTTTTTTTGGTGACAATTAAGAATCATGTAAGTCATTATTTTTAATCTGTTTGTAATATAAGACTTGCCTTTGAACTATATATATCTATATGTATATATAGACGATAAAATGTCCAGATAATAGTCTTTGCTAGGATGCTTACTCAATAAATTTTTTAACTTTGTTTTGCATATAGAAATTAAGTTCCTCAAAAATGTTTTGGTCCCCAATTAAAATAGAAGAGATGACACTTCATTTTAATGAACTGAACATATTAAGTAGTTATCCACAATTGGCCGAACTGTTGATTGGAAAAAGAAAAAGATCTGATTCCTGCAAAGGACTATCTAAAGCAAGAAAAGTGGGGCCTTTCGGACTCGGATTTAAAGTTTCTGAATTTATTTGGTCAATATACGCTGGAGGCACTCCTTGTTTATGCTCTTGGGGTTTTCTTCCAGGACTCTAATATGTGTATAAAAATTGTGCATAAACATACGTGAAACAAACTTATTCTTGTAAAATGCATAAACAATGATAACCCTATTCTTTTCATTGTTTTTGTTGTAGTATCAAGCAATTTTGATTCTTTACGGGAAACAAGTACGGAGTATTTCTTAGTGTTTCTACAGAAAATGAGGACATATTGTGTGATGTTGTTTGGGTATATAAGGAATATTTGTGAGGTAAGGTGGTAAATTTTTGAACAGTTAGAACTCAGAAGTGATCCTACTAGAATGGGTACAAGCAGCAACAAACCTGGTGGAGATGTATGCTTTGGAGCTATAGTAAGTTGTGGATAGAGTGATCCAGAACTCATAGCTCATAGATTCCAGAAATGATCTTGCCCATTGATGGATTTCTCTGCCTTATTTTTCTTTATAAAATTGTAGAGCAAAATTCTAATTAGAAAGTGATACAAAATGTTCATCAAACACGATCTTTGCAAAGCATGACAAACATGGGAGAGACACTCGATTCAAAGATGGCCTTAACGGAAGATAATAATAGATTCTTACACCAAACACTCCTCTGCCTTCGGTTCAAACATTTCTCTTCCTTCTTACACCATGATCTATGAATATATAGATATATAAGTGCGTATGTTTATTCAGTCGTGAAAAAATTTCAGTAAAAACTGTTATTTCTTACAAAGCCATACAATTAAAATAGAATCTGTTCTTGCATGATTGACTTTTTCATTTTGTGTCTTAGGACCAGAAGGGTTCTTTTGTAATTTCGAGTGGGAGCAGAGCGATTGGGAGATTTTCATAATTGTTTCTTTTGCATTGAACAACTTAAGTTGTGCTATGGTATTACTCATTTAATTTCGAGTATCAATATCACCATTTTTGCCTTTTTCAATCATGACACCCAGTTAACATTTGTTTTTCATTATAGTGTTGATTTTGAGAATTGGCGTTGAAAAGCAGAGACATTTCCTCAGAATGAGGGACTTGGTGGATGCATATTTGTTTGTAACAATGATACAATGCAGGAAATGTGAAGCAACAACTATTTTATTTGGTAATTATTTTTCCGTCCTTTTTCTAACCTAGAAGAAAGTCGGGTAATGGGTTTGGAACAGTTAAAGACTTGTTTTGTGACATACATATTTGACAAAGCCATTAGTTTAGAGGTGGATTTATATATTTATTCATTTAGTTGGAATGTTGGATTGATATTGAGAACCAAAACAACTGTTGAACCATTTAAGAACTTGAGTTAAATTTAATACCTTTGTTGGAACCATCAAGTTGTTCCAGTTGTTATTAGAATTGCACTTGCACCAATCTTTAAAGGTGTGCTATAGAGTTTTTGGAAAATACCAATATATACCGGTGATGATTAGACATTCTCTCCTTATCATTTATTCGCAGTTACGAGTAGTTGATTCGTATATATTCTCATTTTGTAGGGTTGCCACCAAGTTATAGATACTCCATTCGGGCAATAACACCAGGGTTACCACTGTTTCTCCATAGCTATGCTACTATTTTTTTTTTTTTTTCCCGGGTCATTATGCTACTAATCAGTTGCATGGAAATTTTTTTAGGTTTGATAAGGCAATAATTTGTTTTGCAAAGATGATGGAGAAAAATTGTGATGCTGATGCCGATCTATTGGATGTCTTGTTAAATGGATTTCTTAGCTGGAACAGGATAGATGGTGGCTTGTTTATGACCTTGGCACTGCATACAAAAAGTCTTATCCATAAGCTTTTAGGAGAAAGGAAACTTGAAGAAGCAACGAACCTTCTTCGTCTAATGAAGAAACACAACTACGTACCTTTCCCAGAACCCTTTGTTCAATATAATTTAAAGTTTGCGATAGTGGAGGTTGCAGGGGACTTCTTGAAGACACTGTGTGGGAAGGAATATCCGTCCATTGAAGCTTACCTTCATTTATTTCAGCCAAAGATCTGTTTTATAAATGCCCTCATCATATTTGTAACCATAAGGCCATTTACGGTCAAAGGGCAAAATGTTAATTTTTGTTGGTCATATGAGTGCTTTTGTCCACTTTTTGATCTTTTAAGGGGTGTTATTATTTTAAAAACAGGTAAATTATATCATTATGTACTTTTGACATACCTTAACGGTGAAGTATATTTTTTTTAAGAAACCGTTAGTTTAATGAGAGAATGTGAGTATTGGTTAGTGGGATCAGCTGGGATAGTGGGACAAAATGGGAGACGTGTGGGGTCAGCTGGGATAGTGGGACAAAATGAATCACTACACCCAGTAAAGCATATTGGGTTTCTTAAACTTTTAAAAACATAAAGACTAAATAAAAACACATACTTCAATAATGTGTTCTCATGTATTGTATACTATTATTACAACTTTACATCAAGTGACTCGTAACAAAAAGACTAAGGTCTAAGGTTGACCACGTGTTATTGGTGTAAGACTGACAATAATAATATGTAATTAATAATATATATATATATATATATATATATGTATACAGTTTAATTCGATTTTCAATAGTTCTCACAGGTCTGAAATAAGAATCGAACCGAAAGTCTACTGTTCTAGATTTTCAGAACCAGAACCGAAGTTCCGGTTCAGTTCAGTTTGGTTCCACGATTTCATAATTTTTTTGTATACTTTTATGAAAAAAAAAAAAAAATTAAAAAATAAAATAATATTTAAAGTTGTGAAAATTTCGTTACAATCTTCACTACCCACACCAAGTTTAAGGCACTAGGAGAGGAGCATCTGTTGAAGGTGCACTCGGCACGACTACTTGACTAGTGGGTAGGCATCTTGTTTTGATTACAAATTACTTTTTTATGCATGCTTTTAAACTTTTCCGCATGGGTTATAGCTCTGTGAAAAAAAATAAAAAAAATTAGTGTAACAGGCTTTTTGAACATGGCCTGTCATATGACTTTGAATTTTCGGACTCTCTTTGTATTCTCAATGCTCCATATATATATATATATATAAACAAACAAGGGTAAAGTGTACTAAAGCCCTTTAAATTTTTTTCTCTTTCTCAGTAAACCCTCTTAAACTTTAAAAAATACACTTAGCCCCCTAAATTTTTTCATTTGTTACAAATAATCTGATAATTAACGGTGAGTTGAGGCACGTGACTCATGGGTGTTGGTCAAAATTTAAAATACCATATATACCCTTATGACTATTATATATTGACCTTTTATATGTATTCATCAAGATACACACATTCGAACTAGAGATACTACCTACATTGTTAAACTATTGGCATGATTGGGATGAGAGTTGTTTGTTGGGAGGACATGTTTGGCGCGCTATAAATTGTTGCTCAGTCATTGTTCCATTTTGATACACCAGAAGTTAATGATAAGATTACTTTGACTAGATATCACTTCTTTATTAGTTCTGGAGATTACATAGCCACATCAACTTCCAAACAACAAAATAAAATCCATACGGGGCCGTTCAAGTAAGGGCTAAACGGTTACTTCCCTTTTCCTTTAACGATTACTTGACAGATGATAACTGGTTGCAATAAAATGATAATTTAAGAGAGTTTTGTTTAGTTCAGGAGGTTTCTTGCAATTGAATTATACTTCAGGGCAGGAGAGTTTAGTACACTTTACCCAATAAACAATTGCATGGCTGTGAAAGCTGTTGAAAAGCACTTATCCAGCACAACTTTAGCTTAATTTAAATTCGAGTTTTTCAAAAAATCACACCTGCAAGCCACTTTCGAAAATGACAGATTAGTAAGTACTTTATTATCATAGTATGATACTATATGCTTGAAGTACGTGAAGGAAAGTGATAAAAACTGATTTATTGTGACACTCAATGTTCTTGATTGAGGCTAGAAGATCTAAATCATCCTCGACCAAACATGGAGTGTTTTTCAGATGAATTTGAGGAAGAACTACTCTAAACAATTCACTCCTTCTGCATACCCCTCAAATTCTTCACACAATCACAGGCCTTTTTGGTTCCCAACAATGGCTTCCACAAGCACAAACACTGCATCATCCTCTTCTACCCCTACCCCTAAATCAAAATACGATGTATTCTTGAGCTTCCGAGGGGAAGACGTTCGCAAGAACTTTGTAGACCATCTGTTTGCTGCTTTGTCTCGGAGTGGAATCTACACCTTCAAAGATGACGAACAACTTAGAAGAGGGGAAGAAATTTCACCCGCACTCTTGAAAGCAATCGAAGAATCGAGTATCGCTCTCATCGTGTTCTCCAAACGCTATGCTTCCTCCAAGTGGTGTTTGGATGAACTGGTGAAAATCATTGAATGCAAGGAGAAGATGGGGCAAACAGTTGTTCCAATCTTCTATGATGTGGATCCTTCGCAAGTGCGGAAACAAACAGGGAGCTTTGCAGCAGCTTTTAGAAAACATGAAGAAGATTTGAGTGGGAAGATGCAGGAGAAGGTGCAAAGATGGAAGACAGCTCTTGAAGAAGCAGCCAATATAGCCGGACATAATCTACAGGATACTGCAAATGGGTAATCTCCAGAAATTCACTCTACTTTAATTTTCTAGTTAGCCTTTTGCTGTTTTATTCAATCTCATTATGCATCATGAATTTAAACATAAAAAAAAAAAAAAATAGGAATTGATTTGGATTGGAATTTCACTTGACTAGAATTCTATTGTTAAGATCAAGTATGGAATTCATTTGAAACTGAATCCCTTTTTATTACGTTATCCAAATCAAAAAATAAAATAATCAAAAACTCTAAAATTTGTTCATATTAATATTATAAAAAAAATATTCTTGCCAAGTGACAGCATATCCATTTTGTATTGTAGTTGGAGGTGGGGATCAAAATATTACCTTATTCTTCAAGAGTTTAAAAGGAAAAAATAGTAGGAGGAAGCTGCTAAGCCTAACCAAACTATTGGGACAGCAGAAATGAACACACATGGAGATCCAAGAACAAATAATAAACCAATCACATAAGAACATGAAGTTTTACTAGTTCGGCAGTTATAGGATAATATTGATTTCATTGTAGTTTTTTATTTATTTTTAAATATTACAACCGTAGAGAATACCTGGCCAATACCGGACTCTGTACCTACCTCTCACTTTAGGGTCTCGTGGTCAATACCCGAGCTTTTCACTTGTACCACTCCACGAGACTTCGTCCTTCCATCCATTCTACTAACCACTAACCACATCTCTAGGCGCTGTTTGACATAAAGGACCAGAGACCCTCACACATCCATCAGCTGCCTCACAAGCTACATCTCTTTCAATCTCAAAAGTCTCAGCTCATAACCTAAATATCTATATAATTCTTTGTTGGACAAGGATTATAATTCCTTGGAACCCACTTATAACCCCAACAAGAATTTTCATAAACAAAATATAAGCCTAAACTAGAAATATGACAGTGGAGAAGAACTTTTAGAAGATGTGTAGACTTTGGGGGAATAATATATAGATGGGAGAACATGTTGCTACTTATTTATATTTATTTGTACATAGAGAGAAAGGGCATAGGGAACAACTATTCTTAGTTCGAAAGAAGGATCACAGGTTTAATGTTGGCGTCTATTGCATTTATCAAAGAACAAAAAAATATTGATGTTTTAGGACTCGATATCCTTTGTTTCTTCTTTAATGTTGATGTCAATTGGATTTATCGAAGAATGAAAAAATCTTGATGTTGATTGGACCTGATACCCTTTGCTTCTTACATTATAGTCATGCTATTTGAATCAAAATCTCTATAGATTTCCTCCACACTCTCAATTTTTTGTTTGTCTATTTTTATTTCTCCATAAATAGTTATGATGATCCACTGTTTTAAATTCTTCATATGATTATGCAACGACTCGAGCTCGGGGATCCGAATTGTTAATCGGGTCCTTACCCGAACCCGAGATAATCTAAGGGCATTACCGTCCTTTGCTATGTTAATGCATAACCTGTACCTCATCCCAAGGTAACAACATAGTTCAAACATGTTTTCAATAGCCAATACAAAATAATCCAAGTTACTTCAATTTGCATCAAATGGTTCAAAGTTATACATTACAAGGCCACCACTTCAAGGTTATACATATCATACAATGCTTTATAAAAATGGAATTCTAATTATAGAGACAACCAAAAAATAGCCCTCAAGTCCAACTATGTCTGTGATGGAATGTCGTCCGCCACTTCCTTCCCAAGACCTGAAATTATTAATATAAGGGGTGAGGACAACCGCTCCGTAGGAGATGCCTAAGACACATCTCTTAATGACCCCCCCTGAATCTACATAAAGCATAGAGTAAAGATATTCGGAATCATGTCATTCAAGGGAAACACAACAACAACAACAACGACAACAACGACAACAATATACAGGCCATCCAACCGTAGATGCACAATGTATGCCAATGGAGTGTAATGATATGCCAATGTCGCTCCCCATTTCAAAACATTTCCGTTTCACCATTCCAAACAGTTAATGCAACCCGACCCATAGCAGCTCTATGGCGACACGAGAGAAGGGCTGGCTAGCTAACCCTGACCACATGGCATCTCCAAGGCGTTGTTTTGGGCCTAGGTAGCTCAACCATGGTATGGTCTCTCCGTAGTTCCCTCTAGATCACATTAACACCACGGACCACTAGGTAGTTCCAGGGTGACCGGATTTTCGCAAACCACTTTTCAAAATATTTTCCCAAAATGATTTTTTATTTCTTTTCAAAACAATTTTCCCTTTTTCTTGCCCAATGCAATGCATAAATGCTTCATGCTTTCAATATCATGCCAATAATAATTTTTTTTATACACTTCATTCAAATTCAACAACATTGCATTCTTATAAGAAACTCATAAGAAAATATATCATGTTTTGACATAATAAAAATTTAGCATTCTAAACATACAAGACAAACAATAATTTTAATTTAGCATGCTTCATCATAATTTGACAACTAACACATAGTGATTCACTTTGTAAACAAAACATAGAAATTATATGTATACAACATAAGACCCAAAGAATTCCAACACAACCAAGGCATGTTTATATAACAATTTTGAGAAAATAACTCACAAAGCTTAAATAAATGGGTATTAGAACACCCCTACCTCAATTTAGAGAAAAAGTCTCAAATCAGCCCAAGAATTTGAAAAGTTGTCCAATCGAGAATCTGCTCCGATCAAATCATAGCCCTCATCGAGCTCGTCAACTTTGCCTTCAATGGCAAAGTTGAAATCTCACAAGAGAATGATGAAATCAAGCTTTGAAGTGATGAAGAAAAGAAAAAAGAAAAAGAAACGCGAAGATGTAGAGAGAGAAGAAGAAACTGGTGCACGAAATGAAGAAAAGGAGTGGTCAGTTAATGACCTTATGGTCATTGCAATGACCAAATGAAATGGTAGGCCCCACTAAAACAAAATATCTAATTTTGTAACTTTATGCCCATATATACATATACACTTATGCTTCAACACTTAATAACTACATAACCTCATAAAAATGCATCAAATAATAATGTATGAAATGCAATGATTCTGAAAAATAGTCCCCGTGCTCAACAACTTCAGTAGCGGGTCCCGCATGGGACCTCCCGGCTCGAAAAACTAAAAAATGCTAAAATGGCAAACAATGCATTTCTAAGAGTCTCGAATTCAAAGAAATGCCCCAATCAATTCTTGGGACTCATCCGGAACACCCCACGGTGTCTAGCATGCAAAACGAGGCGATAAAAATAAAAATCCGAAAAATCGAAAAAAAATTCTTGAAAATAGGAAAATTGAGAAACATTACAATCTACCCTCCTTAAAAAGATTTCATTCTCAAAATCTACTCTCCTTAAAGAAGGAGGCCCACAGCCACACACCTTCCTGAGAAACACCTCACAAAACCGCAAGACTATAAGCTCTACAACCTCTTTGCATTTGACACCAGACGTCAATAGGCAATCACACACCACAGCCACTAAAACACAATGCTGACTACCTTACGAGGGTACTCATCACTCACAACATCATGACACAATTCCGCTGGATTCTATGCCCGACTCAAAACGGACATCGGTCAACTCTAGACTACTACGCAAGGTTCCAAAGCCCGAAAGAAGAACGGTCACCAGACCACCGAAAATGACAACATCTAACTCAACTCATTCTTTAAAGGACACACAAAATCCCAGACAAGGAACCCCGTCCATCTCAAAATCAAGCTCAAACCCAAATCCACAGATCTCTGTCAGACCAAGCACTCGCTATCTAACACATAGCTGTATCATCACATATTCGCACTGGTAACTACCACCTGCACTACATGGCAACCATTATACTTAACATCTTCAAGATGTCTAAACAACAAATCTCCTAACACCACATAAACACGAGTCACTTAAATACACAACGTACTAACAAGCATTACGGACACAACTCCCCAAAACAAGATCTTCAATAATCAATAGTCATACCACAAACCTTCATCGGACACTTGGTCCTACCTAGCACACCTCATCACCCGAGACAAATCATCTGAATTCGCGTAATCACACTGATACAACGCACAATATGATGCTCTCACTATCCTTGACAAGTCGAAATAATCATTGATTTTTGACCCGACATCGTACTAAAGAGGGACTGATTCAGGAGAAATGGTTGGCCATGTAACGACCCGAACCCGTGGGTCCGAACAGTTAACCGGGTCCTTACCCGAACCCGAGGTCAACTAAGGGCAATACCGTCCTTTCCTACACTCATCGGTTATACTGAATTCATTACTAGGCCTAAAGTGCTCCAAAATTACATATTAGAAGGAGAGGGTCAGAGGTGGTCAAAGGGCAAGATCAGCCGGCTGGTGGCCATTCATCGGCAGGCTGAAACTGCATACTTGGCCGGTTGACTGAGATGGTCAGTCGGTCGAAATGATCCTCAAATTTGCAAACTCTAGGGACTTTGCTAAAGTGGTTCATTGGTCAACTGAAAGTGAAGTTCGGCTGGTTGATAAAGGAGGTTCGGTTGGCTGGTAGTGAGTTCAGCCGACCGAAACAAGGTTTCTCAGGACTTAACTCTCTGGAATGCTAAAATGTGCACTGTCAGCTGGTTGGTAGTCCTTGTCAGCCGGCCGACAGCCCTGGGAAGCTGCTATCTGTAGCACACAACATCTGAAATGCTAAGCTCTTTATGAGCCAACCTGATAGACAACCTAAGTCCGAAATCACGGCAGCAATCTATACCATCCCTCCATCATAATCATCATCATGAGAGAAATAGGAAATCCAAATACATTACATTCACTCAAAATATACGACACTGTAATTCTTACATACCCCAATGGTTATATACAAAAAAAATGATTCTAAATATATTACGTATCGCAAAATGATACATTTACAGTTAGTGCTTTACAAAATGGGGTTTAGATACAAAAGATAGCAAAGAAGTCGGTCCTCTAATCCAAGCTAGGGCGGTGGTGGATTATCATCCGCCACTTCTTTTCCATTTTTTGAAAAATGTAAATAAATAGAGGGGTGA